GTGTCTGGCCCTATGATGGAGCAGAAAGCCAAGGACCCCGCTTTTCTGCTTGGCAGGAATGATTTCCAAGGCGGTTCAGGCTGGCTTCAGCGGTTCAAAGAAGGGCACGACATCGTTGGCAAAGCTATTACAGGTGAAAGCAGAGTGGCGGACCTAGACAGCGTAGAAAAATGGCTCAAGGAAAACTGGCGAGATATCGCAGCAAAATATAGAGCCCAAGATATCTTCAATGCGGATGAAACCGCTCTATTTTGGTAAATGTTGCCAAACAAGACACTTGCGTGTCGTGGCAACAAGACAAGCGGCGGCAAGGCGAACAAAGCTCGTGTGTCCGTGCTGTTGGCAGCTAATTTAGACGGATCGAAAAAGCTTCGACCTCTGGTTATCGGGAAAAGCACGGCACCGCAGTGTTTTCGAAATGCTGTCGCTTCCAATTACCTACCGAGTAAACTCAAAAGCGTGGATGATTGGGGAGCTTTTCAGCAGTTGGCTATCGTCGTGGAATGATGATTTTGTTGGCGAAAATCGCAAGGTGTGCCTGCTCGTGGATAATTGTTCATCGCACCACTGCAGTACGACCTTCAGCAACATCAAGCTGCGTTTTTTGTCCCCGAACACTACGTCTGTACTGCAACCACTGGATCAAGACGTTATACGCGCAATGAAAGCCGGCTATCGGAAGCGCCTGGTGGAGAGGCTGCTGCAGAATCTTCGTGCGGACAGGGAGCTTAAGATCGACTTGCTCGGAGCTATTTCTATGTTGAGTAGATCGTGGGCAGATGTCAAGAAGGAGACGATCCAGAACTGCTTTAGGCATGCCGGCTTCCGCATGCCTGGTGATGACACCCCAAATTCTGACAGCACTGAAGACACCGCAGGTGTTTCCGCCGAAGTTCGGAACGAGCTGGCAGAGTTGCCGGGTGCTATCCACGGATCAATATTCGTCGAGTTCGTCAGTGCAGACGATGATATCCCCATCATGGGCCACTTACAGGATGAGGATTACATTGCAGACATCGTGCCGACCACGAGCCAAAGCGATAGCAATATGGAAATCGACGATGGCCCATTGCCTACATCCTCTGAAGTGATCAGTGCACTTGCGTTGGTCCGGCGCTATTGCTTGAATGTGGAAGGTTGTGACCTCAGCTGCTCCGACTCGTTGGACAACGTGGAGGCGTGCGCGCTGTCGCAGGCAGCAAAGTCGTTGACACAGAAAAAAATTCCGGGACTATTTTGTTCCACAGTAGGGCACGCAAGTAAGCCACCATATTAATAAAGTACTTTTCTTCTAGTTTGTTATGTGCCTTTGTGTCAAAACCTATACGGGCCTATATCGAATCATGCCATATATCGAACTAATAAACGTTTTTTGGCGAGTTCGATATACCCGGGTTTGACTGTACTTCAGTGTACATAGGCCCTTCATTGCCGCATTCACAGAGGATTATAGGTGTTGTGATGTCAGCTGACGCCAAGAGCGCATGCGTGAATATGAGCGACATGACGTCACACCGGAGTTGCCTACTTGAATGACTAACTCGATAAACCTGTGTGCATTCTTGTTTCGCTGTCTGTTACTTCAGTGGTGACAAGGCGATTAACCCCCATGGCCAGGGAACGGCATGGCAACGCATGCTGTGCCACCCATTTTTGACGAAGGGGACGACAAGTGGGAAGCATATCAGGTGCGTATCAAAGCTTTCTTCAAAGCCCATAAAATTGACGATCCGAAGAAGCGTCGAGTCCTGCTGGTTAGTGCCCTGAGTAGTAAGACTGTAGTCCTTCTGGCAGGCCGTTGTGCACCTGAAAAGATTCAGGATCTGGCGTACGAAGCAGCAGTTTAAAAAATTGGCCGAGTACACTGCGCCGAAAGGCAACGACATAGCGGAGTCGCATTGGTTTTTTACAAGAAATTAGCAAGCTGACGAATCAACAAGTTATTTCATTGTCGAGTTACGAAAGATGGCTCAGTGGTTCAATTTTGGCCAGGCACTTGATAGAATGCTGTGTATCAGACTTGTTTGCGGCCTGCGGGATGCTGGAGTTCGTCGTAATCTGCTGGTACGGATTTCGATCTCGCAACGTACAAGAGATGGGAGGTGGACAAATGAGCGGCGATGTGAACACACTGCGGAAAAAGCAAGAGGGGCAGTTTTTTAAGAGACCGCAGCCGAGGCGGATGGCACAGTCCAACGACAAAAACCAGAACAACTGCCTTTGCTGCGACAGCAACCACCACAAGACCACCAAGTGCAGGTTCCGCTGTGCTGAGTGTTTCCATTGTCGGAGGCGGGGGCACCGTGCTTTTATGTGCAAATCCTACCCACACCAAGAAAACGTAGCTCACTGTTAGGAACCATGCTCGGACAACGAGGACTACGGGCAGTTTCCACTACACCTCTGTGAGTCATCGACAGGACTGGTCGGGTCGATATGGCCAACGTTACTGTGGAAAGGCATACCGGTGATGATGCAAGTAGACACGAGATCACCAGCGTCAATAGTAACATGGCCAACGTATATCCAGCACAGTCACCGTTGTCCCAAACTTGGCAAGTCGTCGTTCCAATTGACTTGCTTCCTATGAAAACTGCCTGTGAAAAGACAGCTGCAAGCTTCGGTCACCTACGCTGGGAAAACCGTCTACACGACCCTAGTGGTCTTCGGCTGATCTGGTCCAAACCTGTGTTGGCAGGACATAGTTCAAGCATTCCAGCTGACCGGAGGCCTAGTGCTCAGCGTGGAGGTCAATGACTGTAAGCTACCAAAGTTGACGAAATTTTCATTGCTGTTGTGCTGAAAGAATAATATGCCGATCTGTTTGCGCCAGGGCTAAAATTAATCAAGGGTTGTTCGGTCCATTTACAGTTGCGCTAGGGAGTCGTATCGCGATTCTGTAAGGCTTGTTCTGTACCATACGCGCTACGAGAGTTTGTAAATGAATAATCGCAAGGTTAGTTGACACGAAAATTTTGAGGCAGGTCGCCAGCGCCAAGTGGGCGGTGCCTCTTGTTCTTGTTCAAGAAAGGCGGATCCATCCGCCTGTGTGGAGATTTTAGATCGACCGTGAACACAGCATGCCACACTGAGCAATATCTCTTGCCAAAGATAAGGGATATATTTGCGAAGCTCAGAGGAGAAGTATTCAGTAAAATAGATTTGAAGGATGCATGGAACCAGCTACCAATAGATGACGCAACAAAAAAGTTGTTGGTTGACCATTTTCAGGCTACGTGGCTACCGTAGTTCTACCTGCTGTACGAGTTGCTAAGAAAGAACACGCCGTAGCAATGGGAAGCCAAGCAAGAGGATGCCTTCGAGGCAGTGAAGCGGTTGATAAAAGAGATGCAGCTTTTGACGCACTATGACCCAAGCAAAGCACTTATCTTGGACACGGATGTGTCCTCATCGGGCATCAGGGCGGTCTTGTATCATAGAGTAAATGGTGTAAACCAACCAATCAGATTTCAATTTCGCACCCTCTCTTCAGTGGAGCGAAATTATGCCCAGATTGAGCGCAAAGCTTTAGCGGTGATGTTCGGCATGACGAAGTTCTGCCACTATTTGCTAGGAAACAAATTTACATTGCTAATGGATCTTAAGCCGCTGATGCGCCTTTTTAATCCTAAAAAGGAAATACTGCCTTTGGCAGCAGCACGAATACAGCGTTGGGCTCTTTTACTCTGTGGTTACAAGTACTCTGTTCAGTACAAACCTGGAAAGGATGTGATTGTGGCCGACGTGTTGAGGCTTTAGTCCACGCAAATGCCACACGATGTCAAGACAGTGAAGTCAATGTTCAAAGACGAACCAGATTATGTGCTCTTTGTAAACCATCTAGACACTGGACTGGTATCGTCCCGTAAACTGGACGAATTAACACTACATTATGTTATGCTCAAGCCGGTTATGCACTACATTCGCGAAGGCTGGCCTAGGAAATTGCCGTCAACACAAGAAGCATTGCAGACATTGTTCCAGAAAAAAGATAAGCTGATGTGCAGCCATGGTCTTGTTTATTGGGGCCATCAGGCCGTGATACCCGCCGCAGCTCAGAAATCGATGTTACAGCTGCTGCACGATACGCATTAAAGCATGACATTGATGAAAAATCTGGCTCGGGCACTTTTCTGGTTCCTGGGACTTGACAAAGATATCGCTAGCATTGTGCGCGCATGTGCATTGTGCCAGAAAAACAGTAGCATGCCACGCGCAGAAGAGTCGGTTCCATGGCCGGGCTTTTTCGAGTGATGGTCGAGAATTCACGTTGACTTTGCTGGACTACGTTGACCTTGCTGGGCCAGTAGAAGGGCGAATGTTGTTGATTGTAGTGGATTCTCATACAAAATGGATGAAGGTTGTTTCAATGAAAATAAACAGTGCACGCAAATAACACTGTCGAAGCCTTGTGGAATATTTTCAGCGGGTTTGGGCTGCCACGAACAGTCGTTTACAACAACGGGCCCCTGTTTGCAAGCAGACAGTTCCACGAATTCATGAAAGACAATGGCGACGCACACCTACGGTCCCCTCCATATCACCCGCAATCCAACGAGCTGGCAAAGAGGGCGGTGCGAATGGTAAAAGAAGGGTTATGAAAAAACGTGCACGGTACTCTAGAAAGGCGCCTGGCCCGCTGGTTACTGCGTTATCGATGCAGCCCACTCCGAAATGGAAAGACACCAGGCGCTTCATGCTTCTTGGATTTGATTCACGTTCATTGTTGCACAATATTGTGTCACGACCTTTTTCTATCGCAGGCTCACTTCCCCGAAGACATTCGGCCGAAGAACTCTAGGGCAGGCGCCAGCTGGAGACTCACCGTGATATGCCCGCCTAAGCGTGGTCAAAACGGAGGATAGGGAGCTACGTGAGCGTCATGAAGATCAGCTAAGATACCACTTTGAGGGGCAGCCACCAAAGACGTCGGACGGGGAAGGGGAAGTTTCGGCATTGACCAGCGTAAATGCGGGTCCGCGAGCAAGCTTTCCACTTACCAGCCCTGCTCCTTTGCAGGTCGAAGAGCATGAGACAGGACCTGCTACCACTGCAGTCCCGGAAGAGCATGACACGTGTACTGAAAATAATGAACTCCTGGACAATCCACTTTGCAGATCAACCTGGCGTCGCAAGGCACCAGGTCGTTTCTGGATGTCTCCTGAAGGGAGAGGAATTGTTGTGATGTCAGCTGACACCGAGAGCGCATGCGTGAATGTCAGTGACATGACGTCACATTGAAGTTGCCTAGTTAATTGCTAAGTCAATAAACGTGTGTTCATTTTTGTTTCGCCGTCTGTTACTTCAATAGGAACTATACTTCTGCTGATGGTACTGACATTTCACAGAGATTTCGCCCAAGTTCGGGAGGTGTGTGTTCATGACCCATCAACATATAGATGCACAGATACATCACAGATGTACGATCCGCAGTGTGTGCACGTAACCACTATCACGTGCTAATGAAACATTTTAGCCTAGTTCATGCTGGAAGTGCGTGCAGTGCGTGTAACGTCCTACTATCTGCGTGCTTCGCATAATTTTGTTACCCAAAGTACGTGGGATCTGCCCCCCCCCCCCCCCTTTCTTTAACGAATTATAAAATAGTTGTGTCGTGTTGTCATGAAGCGGCCAAACAACCAACACGGATTTCACTCTGACCAGCTTTATGCGCTGTAAGTCAGAATTCTTTTGTCGAGTTGTTTAACGTGCATCAGAGACACCAAAGTTTTTGAAGAGCTTGTTGCAGATTGTTTTGGCATGCGTGCGTCATTTTAAATTTGTGCTGAGAGTTACACCAATGTATTTAAACTACATAACTCTTACTAGACTTACACCATAACTAGTATAAGTAAAATAAAGAGGCTGTTTCTCATTTGAAAAAATCGTGACTACAGTCTTGTTGATGTTTGCCATGTTTCACTCCCGTCACAAAACGGCAAAAAAAAAAAAACTATTCAGCGCATCCTGATCTTGAGTAACATAGATGCTTCTACAGACAACGCTGTCGTCTGCATACATTCTAATTTTAATTTGAGTGTCATCGATAATTTTTTCTCCATCATTTATATAAATAATAAACAAAAGCAAGCAAAGCACTGAGCTTTGAGGCTCCTTCCTGAGGTGATATGTACGTCAAAAGACTCCGTGTGGGTAAACGTAACAAATTTTGAGCATGACAGCAAGTTATATGCTATCCAATCAACTAGCCTGTTGTCGCCAAAGAAATTCTGAAAGAGCTGAAAAGTTTAGGACCTCAAACCATGTCAAAAACATTTCAATAGTCAATAAATATATTATCAACTTGTTTTGGTCGTTAAGAGAAAAGCAATGTCTTGCGTAAATTGAAGCAACTGTGTAACAGCTGTTTCAATGCCGGCATGAAAGCCGTGCCGTGATCGTGAAAGTACGTTGTGTACATGTAGGTATTCTACAATGTATTTGTTAATGATATTCTCCAAAATTTTAAAGCTGGATGAAATAAAAAAATATTGACCTATACTTTGGTATCATTTGCTTGTTTCGGGACTTCAATACTGCCACGACCATTGCTAATTCCACAGCTGGAGCACTGTTGCAGAGATTATTGGTTTTTTAAGTATTACAATTAGACAGTTAGTACACTATTCTAAACACCTCTCCCGAAACAACATGAAACACCATCTCGTCCAGAGCGCTTCGTAACATGAAGATTGAGCATAAAATTATGTATTGCAGAGGAGCTTGATTCAAAATTAGAAAGAGCAGGCAGTTGGCTGCATGTGGAAAGTGCAGAAGTGATGCCGTAATAGGTAGAAAAACAGATTTGAAGTCATTATTAAAGGCATTTGCTATAGCTTCAGGATTTAAGGAGTGGTCGTCAAGAATAAACTATTTAATCTCACAGGTCGCGGGATCAAATCCCGGTTGCGGCGGCTGCATTTTCGATGGAGGCGAAAATGCTGTAGGCCTATGTGTTTAGATTTACCTGCACGTTAAAGAACCTCAGCTGGTCGAAATTTCTGGAGCCCTCCACTGCAGTGTTTCTCATAATTATGTGGTTTTGGGATGTTAAACATCATCATTTATGTGGCCCTTAAGGGCCCCATAGGGACATTACATTAGGGGTGAAGAACATTTTACTAAATACAGAAAAAAAAAGAACTATGAAAATAAGAAAGTAGTACAAATATACAAACCCCACATATCAATCAATTAAATGAAGAATATTTAATACACTTGTAATGATTCTTACGTAAGCGTTTTATGCGACGAGTGAGATGAATTATATCTTTTTGGTACCATCAGTGTGTTGGGTTGCATCTTTGTATTTTGAGGTACGCGTTTTGATAGACATTCACACACAATGTCACAAGACTTCAGAAAGAACATATTTAGTTAGAAAAATGCACTACCACATTCAAATTACTCAAAATATTAGGCTTAAGTGTCTCGTATCATCAACTTTAAGAAAGTTCAAAACAGTTGTGATCTCAGGTTTTTTAGGAGAAAATAAGTTTGAGGTGACTTGAACAGTCTTATGGTCAGGAAACCCTTCAATGACCACAGTTTACACCGCTCTATAGGAGCTCGCAGCCCCATAAAGAACTCGGACTACAGCAAGTTTTTTTCATCTGGTCTCGCAAAACTGCAAAACGCTAGTGCATAGGAATACGGCAGCCTCTGGAAAAAAGCAGTGTTTGTGCAGTGATTTCATAGCGCATAGACAGGTACTTGAGCCGTTCGATGATGCTTGCTGAAATAGCGCATGCGCTAGAACTCGCGACTGCTCCCTTATAATCGAAGTTCACAGTTGCAGATCGAGTCACGCAGTCTCCTACATGAGTATCTTTTCATACTCCTTCGTCCAGCAACAGACAGACATGGCTATCTTTCTGGTTGAGAAGCAATCGACAGCAGGCATCGCACATGGACTGATGTTATTGCATGCCCTCTCCGTGCAATTGAAATAGGCAGCTTTTTCATCTATGCTTTAGCAGTGTTCCTGGTTAACACTCTCGAGCTTTCATCCGCGTGAACAGCATTCAGTATGCGTACAGAAGTTATTGATTTGGACTCTACGCAGAACATGACGGCGATGATTAATGCCTGTAGCGAGTGTTCATGTAATTGTTCTTCCAATCAAAAAATATATACAAAAACCTCGAAACAAGCTGGCCTTTTTTAATAGAGAGCTGCGTCGTGTTCACAGTAAAGAAATTGTTCGTTGGGAAAATGAAATCATAAATAGGAATCGACTATATCTGTCATATACATATGGGAATGGGGGAGGAGAAACAGTAGAAAGAGTACATGACGCATGGGCGACTGCCGCTTGCAATTCAGATGACGTAACAGTGATAGCAGACTGTTTATCGCTTGTCTAATGACCTCTCATCTAAATTCCTCATTATTTTATTGGTATGCCTTATTCTATGCTATTCTTATTATCTAACACTTGCGGCTGGCTGATTTTGTTGATAACGCAGATGAATAGCCACTCTAATTGTTTACCACACTGGTCAAGTGCAAACAGAACCAGAAGCATTAGCATAGGAAAAGTCATCGTTCTGCGATTGCACCCAGCAGCTGCATGAAGGCAACCATGAACTGAGTGACTGTGCTTCAGCTTCGGATCTGCTGCGGCTCAGAAGCCAGCCAGTGTCAAAAGCAGGGCACAGTCCCTTTGCCAGTGCTATCAAGCAAAGCTTGGGTTTGGGGGGTGCCAACGAGTGTTTTAGACTTCGTCGACATGTTTCCATGTTCTGAAAAATGCATCAAAATGTTCAAGATTTTTTTTACTGCATGGCATTAAATATATGATCCTGTAATTTCATCATCGAATTTCGTTGAAGCCAAACTGCAGAAGAAAAAGTGTTCATTGTTGTGAGAGTATTTATGCATTGACTACTGCTGATGAAGAAACGAGAATTTCTAATTGTAGTAGAAACTTTGTTGAAGTAGCATTCGTTGTAGCAGAGTTCAACTGTAGTAAATGAAACCTTGGCAACGAAATCTAGTAGTAAATAGTGGTCATCAATTGGGTGTCAGATATATGCACTAATAATTGTTGCTATGGCTAGCCTAACGATGTAAAATAGTAATGAAGTAAAGACAAAATATTTTATAGTTCTGGAGAGCAGAAAAAAAAAAAATCACTTGGAACTTTGTTGAAGGAGATAACCGGTTTGGAGCACCCACTGCATGGTGGCAACTTTGACTGATGAGCACTCGGTGGCTTTGCATGCTGTCTCACAAACGACTCTCCATAACACGGTGGTTTAAATGTCTAAACACACGCCAGCCCCGAGCACTAATAATGAATTTGTGGAAGCTGGTATAGGGATGGTGGGTGCACAGGAGTGGCAATGCTGCGTCCATTGCGCCATGCTGTGCCAAGCCGCACCTAAACAGTAATTTTAACGTGCAACCCCAAATTTAGTTGAGAGTTTTATCATCGACCAAGCAACATGCATGGGCTACACAAAGGACGCAACCGCATCCGTATAAAACGTCGCATTTCAGATCATGCATGAATCTTGCACCACGTGATAACCTCATTATGAGACTATGTATGTTTTATGTTAAGCCAACTATAAAGACCGCAGTGCTATTTCGAAAAACTCGAGCTCATCACAACGAGCAACCGCCAAGCACGTGCTGTGCTCGGCGGTTTTTCGGTAACGCAGCGGTGAACTTTTTGCCATAAAAACAGAAAAAAAAGAAAAAAAGTAAAAATCAGTGTTACTAGCGTAGCGATGACTGCAATAGGAACAATTTGTAATGTTGGAGTGATTACATGCCGCACGCGCTCCTTTTTTTTTTCTATTTTTGTTACCGCGCCATTACGCGTGTAACACTGCCTTGTGCAAACCGCTCCCAAATTACTGGAGGCTATCTAGGTAATCTTAGAACCCTCCGATAAGAAAACGCGCACAACGTGTACGTTACAGTTTGTTTTGAAACTTACGCTGCCGCTAGCGATAACGCTGGAATCTTCGATGGCACATGTGTAAATGCCGCCGCACTTAGCTGCATGGCATTATCGACGTCTGATGCTCTATGTTCGCTGCTATCAGTCTACGGCGTGTATTGCTCGTCGAGTAACATTCATTTTCCGGGCGGTCAGCCGCAACAAGTTCACTCATGAAAACAGCGACTGCTACCTTCATCGACTTCACGACCCCGCGACACTATGAAGGCTGACAGCCAACCTTTTTAGATCCGACATCGCGACACTCACAACTACAAAACGCTGGTGTAAGAAAATAAGTGTCCTCTCCAGGGAGAAATGCTCTTATCGCACAATCTCTTCCCGTGGAGAGTGCATTGCGTAGAACAGTTTATGAGCCGTGCCCCGATGCTTGCCGATATTGCGCGCGCCAATCATCGCAAGCACCCCCTTGATGAGAATCAAAGTTCATGGCCGCAGCTCGAACTACTCCGCCTTCTCCTGCGTCTTTTCATGCTAGTTCAAGACGGGCGGCATGTCTCTTCTCTGCTTGAGCATTTTACGCCAGTTCTAACGCGCAGTGGGTTGCTAACGCGTGCGCCCTTCGAGCGACTGAGATCGGCCGTCTTGTTTAATATCTGCTTGAGCAGCGCTTATCACCCCAGCTTGTGCAATTTTTTGCGTGAGTCGAACGTACAATGCGCAGAGAATGGTATACCAAATTGTAGTGTACACGGAACATGGCGGTGACAGAGAAAACTCGTAGAGCGTCTATATAATTCTCATTGTAATAAAAAAATCATTTTCACTTATTTGCCTAGCATTGGCTGGTGAGCGCATCTAAATTTCCTCCTGGTTTTCATGTCGACTTGTGGCACTTCAATGACCGGAATATAAGTTTTTTGCATTTATTTTTATGGAGACTTATGGGTTCAATATGGATAATAACTGGAGATCTCCAGTCTTGAGTTGCTGTTTATGTTGGATGCAGTGTTTTAATCACATTTTGAAAATCTTGACAATTTAACATTAATTTTTTTCATTTGTTTAAGGTCTTGTGGCTGTCCAGTACGCCGCCTATGTTTTTTCTTTGAATTGCTGCACTTTTACCTTTGAAGTTGTCAGGTTTTATGTATATGAATTTTGTATAAGTATGGTGGCTTGATTAGCATTTCATGCTTAGCGAGAACCACTGAAATGTTTGTGTTCAACAGAAAGCAAAAATGAAAAAAAAAAAACAGTGATGTGTAGCCTGAGATCTACTCTTAAACTAAATTTCGATGCTCCAAAACACACCTTTTGTTGCTCCAGAGCTGCTCCAAAAGACTGAAGCCTGCTTCCACCCCTGGTGCATGACCCTTCCTTAACAAGGGGAAGAAAGAGGGTTGCTCAGACCTGTTAATGAAAAGGAAAGGTTGGGGGTGTAGAGGGTTGGTGTAAGGATTTGATTTGATTTGATACGTGAGGTTCAACGTCCCAAAACCACCATATGGTTATGAGAGATGCCGTAGTGGAGGGCTTTGGAAATTTCGACTAACCTCGGAAAGAATGGCATTGTATGTAAGGTACCAAAAATTTAATTAATTTTTTTATGAGTAATGGGCATTTACACAGTTTTTTTTTAATATATTGACATTTGCCAAGCCTTGCACCAGAAAACAACCTTGTTAAATGACTGGTTTAACAAAACTTGGTCCTTCGAGGATTGATTGATATGTGGGGTTTGACGTCCCAAAAGCACCATATGATTATGAGAGATGCCGTAGTGGAGGGCTCCAGAAATTCCGACCACCTGGGGTTCTTTCACGTGCACCCAAATCTGAGCACATGGGCCCACAGCATTTTCGCCTCTATCGAAAATGCAGCTGCCGCAGCCGGGATTCGCTCCCACGACCGGCGGGTCAGCAGCCAAGTACCTTAGCCACTAGACCACGGCCGCAGGATGGGCAGTGTAAGGAATGTGGGGGATCGTGCCGAGAGCATCTGAGCATTTGCTGAATGTGTTCGGAGGGGAATCAATAATGGTGAGTAGTGGATGTCGCAGCTGACAAAACATGGCAAACTGCATTGTAAGGTTGCTGGAATTCCCAGTAGTGAGTATGTGTTCATAAAGAGACATGTTTTTTAATCTATAGCCTGTTTGGTATATACAAAAGAAAAAAATTAAGATGTTATCAAAATGGTGTAGTTAAAAGTGTAAGCAAGGAATAATTTGTTTTATAGATAGTTGTTCATGGTTCCTGGAAGCTTTTTTGTTTAGTGAACGCAGTCGTGATATGCGATGTAGATTGTGGCGAGTAACAGTGTTTGTGCATGTTAGTGTAGCAATAACGGAAGAAAGTAAGAAATTAAGCCTGTTTAATGATGTTTGAATGATTTTTTAGTGGTAGCACTCCTAACCTGACGTTTCCTGCCTACTTGCGAGTTGAGCACCCCTGTATCGCGAACTATCGGCTACATTCACGTGATTCGAATGTTGAGTGTTCGTCATGAGCGGGTTCATTTTATACGTGAAGTAAGCGCGAAAAATTCATAACTGCTGAAGAATAGACTGGTGCAGACTTAAGGCTGCGTCATATTTGGTTGTGGTTTTAGAGTAGTAAATAAAACTCTGGCAAACAAATATCAGGGGTGGAAGCAGGCTTCAGTCTTTAGGGGCAACTTTGAGAACGGGAATATTATGGTTTTGGAGTAGATTTACAGCAGTAAAAGGGGAGTTTTGAAGTAGCTATGGAGCACAAAAAGATGTATTTTTGAGCATCAAAATTTATTTTTGGCAGCAGATTTCTCGGGTCACACATCACTTCTAATTAGAATTTTCGCTTTTTGTGAAACCAAGAAATCTTATAAAACCAAGAACTCAGCTTTGATTCTAAGACGTGGTTGCGATAAGCTGGGGCGGGCGTTATCAGAGAGCATCAGCATGTGGCTTGTAAAACCTTCTACGTGGTGAGCTCTCACAACGGGAAGAAATTGTGCGATAAGAGCATTTCACCCTGGAGCAGTCGTCCTTATTCTCTTACTCCAGTGTTTTGTAGAGTGTCGTGATGTCGGATCCAAAATAATTAGCTTTTAGCACGCCTATTGTCATGCGGGCATGATGTTGACGAAGGCAGCAGTCGCTCTTTTCACGAGTGAACTTTTCATTCGGGCAAACCTGTGCCCGGAAAAAGAAATGTCACTTTACAAGCAATACGCGCTGTAGACTGATAACAGCGAACCAGAGCGTCGGCCGTCGTTTCAGAACTCTAATGTGCGCGTTGTGCGCGTAATTTCATCGGAAGGTTCTAAGATTATCTAGATTGTTCTCAGTACAGTCGAACCTCGATGAACGGCGCGGAGATCGCGAAATAGTTCGATATATCCCGAATTCGATATAAAAAATTACAAAAAGATGCGTCAACAGCTTGCTGAAAACAACCAACGAACCGTTAAAGCGTGGTGCAGTAAGTACTCACTTGAAGATTCAAACATAGTATTTATTGTGTTGGTTTAAAATATTGAAAAAGAGTAGCCTGCTTTTTGTTGGCCATGGCGTGTTTGACGACTGTGTCCTCAATATAGTCCAGGCGATCCATAAGTGATTAGGCGGGTGCCTTCAATCGCGCCGCAGTGGCGGCGCACAAGGGCCAAGGCAGCTACGACCTCAGCTGATGTCGGGAGCGGGGCACCATCAGCGCTTGCGGGATCCACCTCGGCAGAGTCTTCATTTGGCTGCTCAGCAGTAGCTTCGGCAACAATCTCCACATCCGTGAGCTCCGCCGTTGTGAGCTTCGCCGTTCGTAGTTAGGCCTGTCGCGCACGACAGGCCTAACTCTGAACGCACGTACACTGCGAGCACAACGACCGATGCCTGCCGATGCTACGGGGGAGGAGCTTGCAACAAGTGCGCAGTGTGCCGTTGACACCATAAAGACTGCAAGGACTGCAAGCTGCAAGGCTGCGGCGTGAGTCCGGGTGTAAAGCGCGCACATGGCGCGCCCATGCCGGCTCGCCTGACTGCTTTCCCCTACATGGCTTTCCCTTTTCCGGCGGCAGCGCGGGCCGCGTCCTGAGACAGTGGTCTGCGTCCTTTCCCTCCTATACTTTCCTCCTACAATCTTTACCTTCCACTCTCCCTTTCCCCACGCGAAGCCGTGTCAGTGCCTTCATATTGAAAGAAAATAACAGCTCCGCGCTTTTGACTTTCCTCATTCAAGAAGCTCTACCGCAAGGCTGCGGCGCGCGTAGGCCGCTACGTTAAAGTGGCGCTGTCGGCGCCATCGATGTGTGCAGCATTCGCAAACGCCCGCCGCTCTACCGCTACTTTCGAGAGTTGCGGGAAAGCTCGCCGCCTGACAATAGAGCACGGGCGGTTTGGGGTGGCTGAGTTTGATATATCCATTATATGTCAAACTTTGTTCGAAATAAAAAAATCAATAATGCATGCGATTTCCCGCGTGATATAGGAACCGTTCGATATAGGCAATAATTGGATATATCCATGTTCGATATGTTGAGGTTTGACTGTAATTCAGGCGTGGTTTGCGTAAGAGAGCGGTACATGCGTAATGGTGTGATAGCAAAATAGAACGGAGCGCATGCGGCATTAGCATTACAACATTACAAATTCTTGCTATTGCAGTCATTGCTTCGCCGTTGAAACTGATTTTTAGTTGGTTTTTTTTTTTCTTCAGTTTATTTGATTCGGCTAACAGCTTTGCTGTTCAAACATATATAGAGTCGCATAATGAGGTGTGCACGCAAACTCCACCTTAACAAGATTCATGCATGAACCGAAGTACGGTGAGACTAGTGAAACAGAACCAATAGATGTGACTGAACTAAATTGATATGGACGCGGTTGCGTTCTTAGTGTAGCACACGCGTGTTGCTCAGTTGATGATAAGACTCAACTAAATTTGGTGTTGCACTCGCAAATGGCCATTGAGGCACAGCAGGTCCAATTGGCGCAAAAGGGCATAAATGGCGCAGCACTTTTACTCCTGAAATATACTAGTCAACAGCGGTCATTAATATGGTGTCAGTCAGATCTGCGTACTAATAAGTACTGCTATGGCTAGCCTAATGACATAGAAAAGTAAGGACAAAAATTATTTGTAGTTGTCGAGAGCGGCAAAAGACAAAATCACCTGGAACTTGAACTGATAGGCAGGTACCCAGTACTAGTATTCAGCGGTGCTAAGAAAATGCGCCAGAACCCTTACTTAGATATAGTGAGTGCATCATCCTAGCATGCAAGAAGTCCATGGTTCAAATGCGGATGCCGGACAATTCTCAACCAGATATATTTGTAAAGGGCAGGGGGGTCCAGGGTGTAATCTCACTGACGACCACAGGTAGTAATGCGCTCCCTCACCAGAGCAGGATTGGCCACCATGCCACAGCACTTGGCAACTACCTCCCACAAAAATGCACCAATCAACCCTTGGCCCTCGCTCCCCAGCGGCTGCGAAACAACTGGCCATGGCAACGGTCAGACCTGTGACACAGCTAAGAATCTCTGGATCCAGACAAGCCTCCATCAGAATTTGAACTTGGCTACATTTAACACCATAATGCTATCTAGTGAGCTGTGCTATTCAAGGAATGAGAGTATGTTAAATGTGATGTAATAGGACTCAGTGAAGTTAGGGAGACAAGTGACGTTTATACACTGCTGAAAAATGGGCATGTCCTATTCTATCGTGGATTAGTTGACTGAAGAGAACTAGGGGTGGAGTTCCTTATCCACAAAAATATAGCTGGCAACAGAGGAATACTATACCATTGATGAAAAGATGTAGAAGTAGTTGGCAGGATCTGGTGCAGTGCCCATAGAATGGTAAGATCTCAAATTCCCCTAGACTAATAAAAACAACGGCAGAAACTGATACACAAGAATCCAATTAATTGACTAGCGATGAGAGCGAGAGTACAGGAATTCAGTTTCACTTCAGAGTAGATTCGAGGCACTAAGCAAGGTAACCGACGTTAGCACTGGCTAAGATGGTAGAGTGATTGTGTTGAAAAAACTGGCCTCCTTGTATCTACATGGCAAGGTTACCAGAATCTTGGAAGATTGCCAACATCATCATTAATTGATAAAAAGGGGCTTAAAAACTACAGCCTACTGTCTGGTGTCTATAAGCTATTTATAAAAATAATAGCCAATATTAGGGTTAGGATGACAATAGACTTCACTAAGCCAAGAAACCAAGCAGGATTTCGTACAGGCTGTTCAGCAATACACTATATTCGTACTATCAATCAGGTAATAGAGAAATGCGTGAAATACGACTACCCCCAACACATAGCCTTCATGGATTAGGAGAAGGCGTTTGACTCAGTCGAGACACCAGCAGTAATGCAGGCACTACAGAATCAGGGCATCGAGGAACCCTACATAAACATACTGGAAGAAATCTACATAGGATCCACAGCCACCATAGTTCTCTATAAAGAAATGGACAGAATTCCAATAAAAAAGGTTGTAAGGCAGGGAGACACAATCTCTCCAACGCTATTCACTGCTTGTTTACAAAAAGTTTTCAGGTCCCTAGATTTGGAATAGTTAGGAATAAGAGTTTATGGAGAGTATCTTAGTAACCTGCGGTTCGCTGGTGACGTTGCCTTGATGAGTAACTCAGGGGATGAATTACAGCTCATGATCACAGAACTGGTCATGAAAAGCAGAAGAGTAATCATTTTTTAGTTTATCCTTAGGAGACAAGAAGAGAGCAGAGTGGGTCAGAGAACAAATTGGGGTTAAGGATATCACATTGAAATCAAGAAGTGTATGTGGGTCGGGCATGTAGTGCGTAGGCAGGATAACCGCTGGTCATTTAGGGTAAATGACTGGATTCCCAGAGAAGGCAAACGTGTGAGAAGGAAACAGAAAGTTAGGTGAGCTAATAAGATTAAAACATTGCAGCAGACAGTGCAGGATTGGGTCAACATTGGTGGAACATGGGAGAAGCTTTCGCCCTGCAGTAGAGGCTGATGATGATATACAGCACCACATGGCAGTTACCTCTCAGTAAATGAAATGCATAATAAGTGGAACATATATTTTTCGTGTCTTCAGATTCCAATGAACGAGAGTGTACTGTACATATACATATCTATATATTATATACATGTTGAGAAATGACAAACAAACGTGTTAATATGTTTACTTGTTTCAACATTTCGGTAGGAGGGCCTGCCTTCGTCAGAGAATGCCTGACCTATTCCCTGGAATAACTGGTATTGCCCAATGAAGAACGTTAAAAGAAGTAAAGAGTTCTGCATGTTCGTTAGTCGTTTATGAATGCATACAAAGCCCTGAATTTGCAGAAGCACTTTTGGATATATAATGGTGGTACTGATGGAAAAAGTCTCGCCTGTTTCTTTTAATGCAGGGTTCATTTCCAAAAGCGGACTATGTGTTCAAGGTGTACTACCCTGCCTTCAAGAAGGTTGAAGACAGCCAGATTGGGAATGACTGACCAACCTTACGGACAAGACCCACCTGCAGAGACTGGTTCTGGTTGAGAGAGAGACCTTTTTATTGAGAGGCAAAGAATTTAGCCGGCGTGTGTAGATAGCTGACTCTGAATGGGGAAAAGGGTAGGGGACTGAAAGACAAAGAAAGAGAGTTATTACTGAAAAATATTAAAAGTTAAAATGTAATAAAAAAAGTATACAGACAGTTTGGTGATCGTTGATTTCGTAACAGCACCCGTTTAGTCCTGGGACATTTGGTGAAAGTTATATGGACTCGTGATGTTTCTCAACCTTATGTTGGGAAATAATATGGTGGGAGTATTGGGAAGAGGTGGGGCTGTGAAGCTGCTGTGTAGCTAGCATCACTTGGACATGTTCACAGAAAACTACTGTGAGCAGTGACAAACGACGATGACATGGCACAGCGTGTGCCATCTAGGGTGTAGAGCAAGAAGTAAACACCTGCTACACAGTTGCACAGTAAAGCTAATATAATACATGACACCATTATCAGGCTCTGCAGGCAGTGATGTGATAGCTGTGCGTGAAACTGGGCCAAGAGGTGAAACCTGCTACATCCTGCTCCATATTGGCAAAATTTTCCATATTTGGAGCATGCACGAGCCAAGATGTCGTTTTTGCTACCTTTCGGTCGGGAAACACAGCGGCAGGCACTTGAAATCCATAGTTTACCACTGTAACTTCAAGTGGTCATCACAGTAAACAGGAGAGTGTTTAAGTAGCTCAGTGGTGCATCAGCTGTGCCAACTGTGCCAATTTGGTACCATTTCCGATTATTGTTTCGAGCTGCACCAAAACCCTGAAGTTCGCTGAAAATGTGCCAATATGCCCAGCCAGCCTCAATTTTTTTCAGGTGCGCTAATTTCGACGAGAAATGCAGGCCACGTCGGCCACCTGCAGCTTGCGCCATCAGTCGAAGAGCGCCGACCCAAACTACTAGAATGTACTTGAAATATTCAAGGCACCCGCCCTACACTCACGAGATGCGATCGACCAAATAAAGAACAACGCTGCGCGCCCATCGGCCCGCTGACTGCAGATAATACCTGTCAGTGGGACGACGGAACTTAAGACAAAAATGCGTTGCTGTAGCCACCAAGGCTCTGCGGGAAATGTCAATTTTCTAGCTTGAAAACGTGGCTATGGCTTGTTAAGCATTAAAGCTGGAAGCGTAAGCCACGTTTTTCTCACACGAACAAGCTCGATGTGCTGCGAACACTGCCGTTGTTAGCGACCACGTCGATTGCCTTAACAATGGAATGTAAAGCGTTAATTTTTGTCTTGAAGTTGCATCGTCCCTGCCACAACGCTTCGCAATGGATATACTGTCGCTGGGCTGACAGGCGCGCGTTGTTACTTTACCTGGTCGAACGAGGGTTGAAAGGGAGCCGAAGCAGCACCTAACCTGACGGTGAAAAAAAAGGTGAGGGGGGGGGGGGGAGTGAGGTAGTGGTGTAGTGGCACGGCCGCTGGATGACAAAGCGCACGGTGCGCTCTTTTATCCAACGACCCTGGTAGTGGTTTGAAAATTTCTTAGCACGCGCTTGGCATCCTGGAACGCCAGCGGCCGAAAGCGGCACCCCCACGTGTTTGACGCAGATTGCTGCTCAGGGACGTCCGACCACGCTAGTCTTGCTTTAATTCCCCTACCGCTTCCCTCTTCATGCCGGATTGACAATAAAATTGTTTCACTCACTCACTTTGCTACGCTTGGCTTCGCTGCAGTACATTGATGTCGTGCAGAAAAGCGTATTGAGATTTAGAAGGGGCTGTTAGCGTTATGGGGCACTGCACATTTTGCTCAGTTATTCATGCGTTTGTACACCACACATTTTTTGAGTACCAGTATAACTACTGACTTTTAAATAAGCTACTTGCAATCATTTGAAGCAGTGTATGACATTTCTGCTCCCCTAAAAAAACTGTATTGTGTGCCAGTTCTTTTTTTATTTTGTTTTTGCCACCCCTACTCCTCGGGTTTACGAATCTCAAATTTCAAGGCCGTGAGCTTCGCAGACTGATATTGAAATTCGCAGAGTCGGTCAAATGATTTGACAGGTGCAGCAAATTCTACTATGTACTTTATCATCGTTTGCTCAGCAGGGTGGTTCGAAGTACTACTTTCATTGAAGTTAGCAGTACTCATGTTCACGCCGCACGATTTAGGTGATGTTGAATGGTTAAAACACATTTTTTTTTTTTAATGCAAGCTTCTTTTTTTATACTCCTCCAGATTTGGTATTTTATGATGAAAAATGCATCTTTTTCCCCGTAACCTGCTACATATTTGGAATTTAGTGCTCCGAAATTAACATTTCGCTGCTCCAAAAATTGCTCCGAATTGTATTTCGGCTGTTGCACCCCTGGTAGTTGCTAGGTGCTAGCTTTCCAAACAATTTTAACTCGCCCATATTGCAAAACTTACTGTTAGATTTCAACTCACCCATACGGCAAAACCTACTGCATTTGTTTTATATTCCTACTGGCCCATACTGTCATATAACATTATTTAGTTCAATAAAATAGCTTTTAACTGTTCCGGATACAGTTAAAAAAGTAATAATGACCTAGTTGTTCTTGTAGCACAGCCTCGCTTGACTGACTGTGTAGATTACACTAATTTAGTTGGTGTGTGTAGAATCGACTGTTCATTTAACTTGTTTTTCTATTATTATTGATAGGGCTATTTGTTCTAGTTTATTTCTAAAATGTTTCACACAGGGTGCCTATGTTTTAAGGTTGTACAGTTGGCAGAATTTACCAACAGTAGCACAGGCTATACAGTTCATGTCATCTTTTCTAGTTTTATGCGCTGTTACATATGTTGGAGTGACTGTTATACTTCGCTGAGAAGGCATGGTGTCGTATCTCGTCTGGACTTCTCAACCTCGGCAACTATGCACCTTGTCAAAAAAAATACATGCTCCCCCTCTCCCATCATTGTAAATTTTGTCGAGCACACATGAAATAGCTGGAACAAAGGACCAGTTACTAACCCATCTTTCTTATTAACCGCTCATTAGCCAGAAACCTTGGAATTCTGTATGTAAAGCACAATAGCACACACTTGTTCACGCAATGAAGGGCAAAGTTCTACAAAATATACAAATGTAATCATACTTGTATTTTTTAGAGTATATAGTAAGCATGAACAGTTTATACAGATTGTGTTTCCAGTAGTTAACGCAAGCATCAGGGAAAGCTGGATTTATTTAACATAACATATTCTTGGGAAGTGTCAGGTTAAACTGTCTTGGGGATATGTGCAAAAAAGCGATGAGCAGTGACCTAAGTTCACGTTTAGAAATACTACGAATGAAAATGCATGCATGCCAAAATGGATTTCCATTGACATGCTGTGCAACAGCTCCGGCTTAGAGACAAATGTTTACAGCCGAAAATGTCTGGCTAGTAACTGTTCCAAATGATTGTGAGGCTGCTACAAAGTTAGATCTTAGTTGCTGCAGATGCTGTGCAAAAGTCGCTTTGGTCAATCACATCACTGTAAAGGGTATAAAAGCGAAGCAAGTCCAGGCAAAAGTCTGCTGCACACAAGTAAATCAATCTTGGTGTGACCATTGCTGTCTCGCACATCCCTGGCCATGCTCGTTGCTCACTTGTATGCACACATCTGTGACCTCTCCTGTCCCTTGGTCATCATCATCATCAGCCTGACTACGTCCACTGCAGGACAAAGGCCTCTCCAATGTTCCGCCAGTTAACCCGGTCCTGTGCTTGCTGCTGCCAATTTATACCCGCAAACTTCTTAATCTCATCTGCCCACCTAACCTTCTGTCTCCCCCTAGCCCGCTTGCCTTCTCTGGGAATCTAGTTAGTTACCCTTAATGACCAGCGGTTATCCTGTCTACGCGCTACATGCCCGGCCCATGTCCATTTCTTCTTCTTGATATCAGCTATAATATCTTTAACCCCCGTTTGTTCCCTAATCCACTCTGCTCTCTTCTTGTCTCTTAAGGTTACACCTACCATTTTTCTTTTCATTGCTCGCTGCGTCATCCTCAATTTAAGCTGAACCCTCTTTGTAAATCTCCAGGTTTCTGCTCCGTAGCTAAGTACCGGCAAGATACAGCTGTTATATACCTTCCTCTTGAGGGATGGTGGCAATCTACCCGTCATAATTTGAGAGTGCTTGCCGAATGTGCTCCACCCCATTCTTATTCTTCTAGTTACTTCAGCTGCTCTTTTCCGAGGTTGTTGTACATTACTTTCGTTTTCTGCAGATTCATTTTAAGACCCACCTTTTTGCTCTCCTTGTCTAACTCTGTAATCATGAGTTGCAATTCGTCTCCTGAGTTACTCAGCAATGCAATGTCATCGGCGAAGCGCAGGTTACTAAGGTACTCTCCATTGACTTTTATCCCTAACTGTTCCCATTCTAGGCTTCTGAGAACCTCCTGTAAGCACGCGTTAAATAGCATTGGGGAGATTGTGTCCCCCCTGCCTTACAACCATCTTGATTGGTATTCTGCTGCTTTCTTTATGAAGCACTATGGTAGCAGTTAATCCCCTGTAGATTTCTTCGAGGATGTTTATATATACTTCATCGACGCCCTGATTCCGCAGTATCTGCATGACGGCTGATATTTCTACTGAATCAAACGCCTTCTCGTGAATATATTCTGAGCATTTCTCTATTACCTGATCGATAGTATAAATGTGGTCGATTGTTGAGTAGCCTGTTCGAAATCCTGCTTGTTCCTTTGGTTGATTGAATTCTAATGTTTTCGTTACTCTGTTAGCAATTACCTTTGTAAATAGCTTGTACACTACAGAGAGCAAGCTAATCGGCCTGTAATTCTTCAAGTCCTTGTCATTTCCTTTCTTTTGTATTAAGGTGATGTTAGCATTCTTCCAAGACTCTGGTGCTCTTTCTGTCAGGAGGCACCTCGTAAACAGGGTGGCTAGTTTTTCCAACACAATCTGTCCTCCATCTTTCAGCAGATCTGATGTTACCTGATTTTCACCAGCAGCTTTGCTTCTTTGCATGCTCTCCAAAGCTTTTCTGACTTCTATCATTACTGGTGGGATGTCATCTGGGTTACTGCTAGTTCTTATAGTATTAAAGTCGTGGTTGTTCCGGCTACTGTACAGATCTCTGTGAAACTCCTCCGCTATTTTAACTATCCTATCCATATTGATAGTTATTTTGCCTTCTTTGTCCCT